GGCGGTGGGGGAGAAGGGAGGTAACGGTATGCAGGAAGACGAATGTCGCTGATCATGCTGCATCCAGATCCTTGATCACGGAAATCCGCAACATGAGAACAAAGTACTGTCGAAAACTTCATTATAGCCGGTACTAAAGCGGTGTGCAACTGAAGCCGGGTTATCATTCTTTTTGCGAAAAGCTGTTCTGAATGAACACTTGCACACAGTGCACTTGCACTGCCTGGGATACAGTACGTTGTTCGATGCCTACTTCCCATTTTCTTTTCACATTCTCTTCCACATTCAGAAAGTATGCAAAAAATAGCGATAAATGCGGGACTGCGTATTTTACTTCCAGAATGAGCTATCCTTCGGTGCCAAAATTACCCCTTTAAAAGCTGCTTCAGTTGTCTGAAGTATATTTCGAATGAAAGCATCATCAGCTTGCCTGTTTGGGGAACCGCAGAAACAAGTACCGGCAGCCCAGACATGGCTGTTGAACTGATAAGCTACTCCAACCACCTCTCTTGCCTTCTCACAGGTCAAGTAGATGAGCAGTCGAATACAAGCAACAAATCCCTATCAAATATCGTCATAGAAAAAGACAAAGAATATGACGTTGCTTACTGTATCTGTGCAAACTTCTCTGAAAATTGCCGAAGCTTAAATACCTAGAAACATCAAGAGTGTCTTTACTTCTGACATGGCACGGAACTATGCCCCGAAATTTTAGTCTTCTAGTATTCACAGTTCTGAAATTTAATCATCCAGCCAAAAGAAAGATGGACGGACAAACAAACATATGAGAATACACAGACACAGTCTCGTCATAAGGTATTTTTATGCATTTCTACATCTTGTGCGTGTGTGTGCCTGTTTTTTACTTCTGTTTGTGTATTTTGTAATCCACTTTCAGCTCTGCAACCAGCTGGGCTAGGAAGCTAAAATTTTTCGAGAATATCCTCTGCCTATATGTGATCTAAAGATTTTAAGGGGGTTTTGAAGTACAACTAGATCTTTCCTAAACGAAAGTAAAATTCCAGTTTGGGCCAATTTTGACATCCACTTAACCAAACTGCGAAGGAAGCCGCATTTTTTCGAGGATTTTTAGTGCGTTTTTGCCTGTATGCAAATTGCAAAAACGCATATTGAGACGACCCCGTCTGTGTGTGTATGTATTTGTGTATGTGTGTGCGTGTGTATGTTTGTGTGTGTGCGTGTGTGTGTGTGTGTGTTCGTCTGTCCAGGCATTTCAACTCGGCAGCCAAGCAAGTTCCAGCGCCGAGATTTTGCTAATGGGTGCCCCGGCCAAGTACCACCCCAGAACCGCGGTACCATCCCTCTCGCACGTCTGGGCCCCGCGTACGAGGGGTCCCGGCCAAGTACCACTCCAGAACCGCGGTACCATCCCTCACGCACGTCTGGGCCCCGCGTACGAGACGGCCAAGTACCACCCCAGAACCGCGGTACCATCCCTCACGCACGTCTGGGCCCCGCGTACGAGGGAGGACCAAGTACCACTCGTCTGTCCGGGTATTTCAACTCGGCAACCAAGCAAGTTCCAGGGCCGAGGTTTTGCTAATGAGTATCCCGGCCAAGTACCACTCGGCAACTAAGCAAGTTTCAGCGCCGAGATTTTGCTAATGGGTACCCCGGCCAAGTACCACCCCAGAGAAGCAAGTTTCAGCGCCGAGATTTTGCTAATGGGTACCCCGGCCAAGTACCACCCCAGAACCGCGTTCAACTCGGCAACCAAGGGTATGTGTGTGTGTATGTTCGTGTGTGTGTGTGTGTGTTCGTCTGTCCGGGTATTTCAACTCGGCAACCAAGCAATTCCAGCGCCGAGGTTTTGCTAATGGGTACCCCGGCCAAGTACCACCCCAGAACCGCGGTACCATCCCTCACGCACGTCTGGGCCCCGCGTACGAGAGGGGGAAAGTTTTGGCGGGAAAATTGATAACTCATCTGGGCCCCGCGTACGAGAGGGGGAAAGTTTTGGCGGGAAAACTGATAACTCGGGAACGCGAAAACATAGGAAGCTGAAATTTTGAGGTTATGTTCCTCGTTCAAATATAACTCAAAGATTTCAAATTCAGCCTCCAGGTATGCGTGGTTCCCGCGTACGGCCCCGTGAGATTTTTCGGCGGGGAAATGACTAACTCGGGAACTATCAAAGCTGGGAAGCTGAAATTTTTAGGGAATGTTCCTAGCCCATGTACGACTTAAAGTTATCACATTCCATCCCCAGGCGTGCGCACTTAAATTTTTAGCGGGGAATTGCTCACTGAACGGCTGGGTCATTTTCAAAAAACGACCACTAAACGGAAATTGTTTATTTTGTTTTATGCAAAATTTACGACGATTTACGGTATTGAGAGCACAAAGTAGGTGCAAAGAAACAATTACTCATGCAGTTAACCTAATTACTTCAAGTCTGATGCAAAAACGCATGATTGCACCGGCTCGCCTGGTGCGTTCCAGCCTGGGTCTTGATGATCAAACAGACAGGAAAGTTGTATTTTAACAAAAATGATGGAATATTTGTGGCACTAAAGGCATGAATCAGTTTTCACAAACGACTGTGTCTTGAATACAAACATAGTAAAATCCGGGTCACAAAATTATGGACAACCTTCCCTCACAAAGATCTTCTATGCTAGAAAGAAGAAACTGTGCTCGACTCCACAGAGCAAAAGTACTGCCCCAGCCAAAGCTCCTCTTCTCACGTGCGGGAAAAGTCCAGCGAGATCATTTCTAATGTGTTTTCATACATCAAACTGTAAAATAACGGCCATTCATGCTCCTAACAATGTTTAATGCAGTACGAGGTGGAAAAAAAACGCATAATCGCACTGGCCAAATTCGCGCATGAGCTAATTATTTACTAGTAGAAAACTCATAAAAAGAAATAGAAAGCAATAAATTCATCTTTAATCATTCCGACTACAGCAGTCCAATCAAAATTATTAAATGATGGGGTAAAAGTGACCTGTAGTTTATCGATGACATCGGTTGCCCCAGAGGATTCGGCCACAAAATCAAGCCAATGCTCGTAGTCCCCAGTGGCAACAGTTTTCAATAAGCGCGGTAGACTTGTCATTGCTTCCGTCCCCTTTCCTTCACTGTGCAAACTGAACAGCGTCGGCGATAATATATTCACCTGTATAACCTCAAGCGAGTTAATTTCGAGAGAGGTAAACCTTAAGCGGTTCATCTACATTTATTATAAATTACTGAGACGATAACCACAAAGCGTCTGACAATTTATATGCACCTTAGCGGCTGTTCTTTTGTGCAGCCTACTGTGTAAGCCAACGGGTTGCCAAAATAGCCATCTTTAGTGAAAGCGCATTCTCCTCTGTAAGAAACTAAGAAAAGTAGGAACAAAAAAGAGGAAGGGCGGTTGAAGCGTTTATACAGACTTTGATCTAGTTGAAACGAAACAGTAAACGAAATTGACATTTTTTTTTTCCAAAAGGAGAACTGTTATGTTTTTGCATTCCAAATAAAGCCAACATGTCAATGCACTTTCAGAAAACTGATGATAAAATCCCACAACGAATATTCACATATCCTTTCATTCTTTTTCAAAAAGTTTCACCTATTTTGACGCTCTGGACAAATAAAAATGTGCGATGATATTTGTTTTAGTAGCTTGAAAACAACATGTGCAGGCAGGCGTCACTTGTGAAATAAAACGGTGGGGATCATTCAACAGTGCGCCTTACTCATTTTTCAATTAAAAATCATTAAAGGTCACGAAATTAGACAAAAATACAGCCCGAAATAGTCAAGAATGTGGACATGCATCTGGAACAGAGTATAAGTAAACTTACTCGATCTTTATTCTCTTCATCAGGTACGATTGAAAGAAAGCGAGGTGAGGCGACCTTGATTGTCTTATTTGTTATGTCAGTCCTGTTGTCACCACCAGCTACCATAGCCAGCCTAACAGCATCCCGAAACAGTTTTGATATCTCGAGCACTTCTTTCCTTTTCACCTCCTCCTGCTGCTTCACCTCTCTCGCTGGGATGTTCGGCCTTTCGGCTGTCTTTGCCTTCAAGTATTTTCTTGTTCTCTAACGTCATGCCTCTTTCACGTTCACGCAAAATCATAGTTATGCGTTTTTGCCGTGCAGCGCTAGAGCGCTGCAACAGGCAGCAAAAACGCATATTGGAAC